TTCTTCCTGACGAGCGCAACGTTCGTACCCTGTTGGGTCTTCCGGAGCTAGGCTCAACGGGTGGGGTGAAACTCTAGACTGCACGCCCTCCCGAGCACTGGAGGGAGTGCCTTGGGCCACCAGAGGGAGAAGCTTACCTCTGGTGGTCCGAAGCTGGGGAGGAGCTCGCCCAGCCGTGAGACGAGGCTGTCACTGCAATCATGCAGGCAGCTCTCACCGCGTGCTTGGCAGGGGGAGAAAACTCACCCCTGGAGGCCATCGGCACAGGGTATCCCGCAGGGAGAAACTCACCCGCGGTTGCCAAAGATTTGCCGGGTTGAAATCTCTCCATCCACCATTACCCCTGCTTGTTGCAGGCGGTCGACATACCCTTGGCACTCCGAAGCAAGTCTGCGGAAGACCTTCGGAGCATCCTGCGTGACCTCAGAGCAGACGGTCCTGATCCAGTTGGCATGCATGGGGCACATTTTCTGCGCCAGTTTGTGGAAACCATGCCACTTTGCCTCAGGCTTCGCCTGACGCCTCCAAGACAAAAGGTCGAAATAGCGGAGCGCCGGGTAAGGCTCCGCCGTAGAGGCAACCTCCATACCCATATTGGACTCTCCCAGGTCCAAGAGGTGGAGGTTCTGGGTCCAAAGCCACGTGAGTATGCAGCCAACGTGGCACATGAACTTGAAGGAGAAAGTGACTCCCCTTTGCTCCATAACTTCCGCCGCCAACACCACTGGCTTTTGGCATAGGAGCGTCATTGGCAAGCGCTGTTCGCCTCCTTTGTCGCCGTGGAGAACGACCTCAACATCCTCCACCCAGAAAACCGGCGTAGCGATGCCTGGCAGGAGATTAGCGAAGACGAGCTCCTGTTTCTGAGGCTGTTCAGATAACTTGAGCACCAAGTCTTGGGAGGTGTACGCTACTCTGTCCTGGCCTTTGCCCAAAAACTCAAGGAGAGCTCCAGAGGGGCCGCCTTGGCACCATTCGAATCCCAAAGTTTTGGGAAGCGCCAGGAGATTGTTGCGCGCAACTCCTTGCACCACTCTCTTGCCATGAAGGGTGGGAAGCCCTCCCCCTTCATGAGCTCTCGGCCTTAAGCAGTCTTCTTTAGGCCCTTGCGAAGACTGTGACGCTTCAGAGCGTTGTTTAACTCTTCTCGCCCACGGTGTGCTGGAATCTGCCTCCTCCAGCTCTGCCTTGTCATGCTGCGTGAGGACTGGCACTTTGGCTTTGGCGAAAATAGCTTGGAGCCTTTCCTTGGAGCTCAAGGGGAGAACCTCACCCTTGGCTCCTGAACTGCCTTGGGGAGAAGACTCACCCTGGCTGTCTCGACCTACTGGCCTTTCTTTTAGGTGAACGCTGCCGGCCTGAAAAGGCTGTGCTGGGGGGAGAACCTCACCCCCAGTGTGTCCGGCCCCTGGGCCCTCCGTAAGCAACACCGGTTGCCTAGGCGGCGCCTTCGGGGGCGCCGGCGGCAGGACTGCTGGATTGCCCAGGCTGGCAGCAGGGACCGCCTGTGGCATGCTGGCATGGTATGCCTGCGAGCGCGCCTTAGACCGGCTTACAGAGGCCACGGACTTCGAAGACTTGCCGTCGGAAGCCCTGACGGCGTTCACCTCCCTGGCGTGCTGACGTTCTTCCTCTGGTCGTTTGCTTTTGCCACCTTTTTTGCCTTTTCCTTTGCCTGAGCCGCCTGTACCCATAGCTGGTCTAGTTTGGCTTGCGAAAGAACTGCAGGACACTAGGAGTGCTCGACGAGTCCTTGGTTTTCTTAGCTTTGGGCTTAGACTTAGGGGCCGGGGCAGCTTTGCCTTGGGGCCTTGACTGGCTTACTGCCTTGGTGCCCTCCTGCGGCTGAGAAACTCGAGCCGAAGACTGCGGCGTACCTGTCAGAGGTGAACTTGGTTGGGCATGGGAGCTTGCAGGTAGAGGGGAGGTTTTGGGCTTGGCCGGTCGAGCCTCATGGAGAACCTCATGAACATGAGTCTTGCCGGGACGGTTGCTAGAGGGGCCAGTGGGAAGGACAGACCCGCTCTCTAAGACCTGCGCGCCTCCTAGCGAGCCTCGGCTTTCCGAACTTCCACCCTCGGGACGAGAAGGAAGTCTACCCGCGAAGAGCAGAGAGAAACCCTGGGCAGGCGTGGTATGAGCTACCTCCTCATTTCTTTTCCTTGGGCCGGCAGTACCTCGCCTCGTGCAGGCCTTAGCAAGCCTACCCCTGGCTGTAGCCCTCACAGAATAACTGGCATTACACGTGGAGCATTGCCACATTCGCCCTTGGTTGACAATACAATGCGTGGAATGAATGCCCGAGTCAGCTGCAGGCGTGGCCTCTCTGCCCCTACAGGGATGCTGGAGGACGAACTTGATGATGTCCCCTGGATCGGTTTGTTGCGCGTACAAACCGCACTCCTGGCACTTAATGATGAGGTTCTTGGCCGAGGAGGTAAGTACCCAATTGTGTCCTATCTCCGGGTCGCGCTGTTGGGTGGCTGCATGAAGGGCGTGCCTCTTGTTAAAGTCCAGCTTTCTGGTCTGCCTGCTTTTCACCGGGATAGCCTCAAACTTGACTTCCTTGCGTGTGGGAACGGGGTCGTGTTGAAGGATATGGCTGCATCTTCTGCCAAGCCAGGCGCAGCGGCCCCTTGTTGCACGGTCAATAGCCGCTGTTCTAGCGGCTTGCTCATACGAAAAGACCTCCTCGCTTCTGAGCCCACTTAGCCTGTCAGCCTCTTCGTTCGCAAACCATGCCCACACTGCCTGCTGTCCAAACCTGTTGGCGTGGTCTTGGCGGGACATGTGGCCTTTTGTCCAGTTGAGTTGGAGCTTGTCCCGCTCCTCGGCACTGGTAGTCCATATGCCTGGTTTGGGTTGCTTGCCACTGGAGGCTCTGCACCACCGTATGGCGACCTTGCTATCGACCGCCACGTTGACTTGAGCTGGAGCCATGGCTGCGAGCTGGTCGAGAGCAATCGCTTCGCCTTCATTGACTGTCGCTCCTATCTGGAGGGAACCAGTCATGGTGCCCACCACCTCATAGGGCGGGTCTGCATCTTGCTTAATGCGGATAGCCACTACAGCCCAGGAGACCACTCTGAGCCTAGCATCCTCTCCTTTGGGGCCTCCTGATGCATCCGTGCCGTAGAAAAGGCCGCTCACAGGGAGAAACTCACCTGCGAAAACCCCCGAGCATCGAACCTGAAGCTGCTCAGGGGTAAGGGGGGGATGAACTGTAGCCTCTTTTGGGACAAGCCCCCGAACTACAAAGCAGGGCGGGGGATTCGGGTAGTCGATGTCCCAAGCAGGGTCGGGGCCAATGTCATGCTCGGCCCAACGGACGCACTCGATAAGGACATGCCTCAATGTGTTCGGCAGACCACACTTGAGGCATTGCTGGTCACCTCCGTGGTTCGCTCTCCTGACAGCCCCTTGCCAGAGCATCCGGAGGCCGGATGCAACAAGCGGTTTTTTGTCAGAGTTTTTGAGCATTTTCCTTGCAACGGTCCAGTCGATGCCCTTTTCCACGCCCTTGGCTTGTTCTTGGACTGAAATGCGTTCCCACCGATCATCCAAGAGGGCCTCTCTGAGCTGCTGGGCGACGCGGAGCCCCGCATTAGGGGTTCCCCATTCCAGGGAGATGACTCGACCTGGTCTTTCCCAAACATCCATTGAGCTGGCATCAAAGCCCATGTCAAGCAAGTAACATTGCATGGACGCGATTGGCCCCGCTGCTGCACACCACCGCTGCTTACTGTTGACCAGTTTGTTCCACGAAACAGCCCACGTGCGCTTTACGTAGCTTGCGCCGGGAAGGTTTCGCTCCACACATTCCTTCAGCATTGACCAGTGCTCCAGTATCAGCTTAGGGAGCGGATCTCCTGCTCCGAACTCTGCCATATCAAACAGGAGATCTAGTGAACCGAACGGAATTTTGGCATAGTGTCCTCCGGCGATTGCACGGAGCACTTTCATTCTCTTAGGGGCAAAACCCTGACACTGGTGACCGAACGTTGCCGCTGTCAGGACCCCTGTCGTGGCAATTTGCGCTCTTTTTTGCTTGTTGTGAAGCTTGAGCCTTGTCAATTTGCCGCTTCGCCCCTGCGCCTTAGCCAGGCGGGCGTTGCTGCCGGCAACGCGGCGCCTGCGCGCAGCCGCGGAGTCCACACCCAAATCTCTGATCAGACTCAGAATGGGAGGATCATCCGGTCTGAGCAGGGCACGAAGCCTTTTCTCAGCCGCTTTATCGCTACATACGAAGGCTGATTTGGCCTTGGAAAGCACCAGTGCTTCGCTGCCCAGGCTTTCGGCAATGAGCCTATAAGCTCTGACGCTACGGCTTGCAGCACGATCAGCATCGGAGTCAGCAACATCCAGACTGATGTCGTCTAGCCACGTGTTCAGGTTGGAAACCAAACCTGAGGCACTGAGCCGCGCACAAGGCTCGTGGATCGCTAGTTTAGACAGAGTGGGCGCCACCGGGCATCCCGCTATTACTCCTTTTGGGGAGTAAGTAGCGGGTGACTGGGTGGAATCTGCCGTGATCACACGTGCGCCTTTATACACCTGGATGGCGATGTTGAGGAGGGTCGCCGGGTATTCCAACTCGATAGCCGACCTTGCCAATCTTTGGTGAGATATGGTTTCGAAGAAGGTGGCGAGATCCAGGAAACACGTGATGCGGCTTTGCCCTGTCGCTCTCGCGATCTCAGATTGAAACACGCGGTGCACAGCAACACTGAGGCAAGTGCTGTCGGGCTTTGCGGCATCCCACGGCGCCATCCTCTCATACTTGCGGAGCCACGCTGATACCAGGGAGTATCTCACCTGGAGCCAGGCTTTGTAAACAACGTGACAAAGACCTATTGGTCTTTCGATTTCAGGCTTCTTAGGAAGCATAGCGAATTGTACCACTCGCCACTGGCCTGGGGCCTGACCAGAATGCTCTATGTCGTTGAGCATGTTCACCAAAGGCTGGAGCCCTGCCGGGGGCAGCTGCTTGAGCATCCTGTTATTCCAGCCGTCTGGACCAGGCGCCTTCTCAGGAAGGCATTGCAGCCTGGTGCGGAGAGCCTCCACCGTAAGCGGGGGTAACCCTCGCGCCTCGGCAACTGCTTTGTCAAACAGCTCTTGGAGAGGGTCCTCGACGGGGACACTCCGACTTTGCCAGATTTGCTCCCATTGGCAGAGTCGGAGGTAGGGCCGAAGCGCCGGCTCTTTATCCTGAAAAGGCCGCACCAACACTTGCTCGTGAGACCTGATTGCTTTGTACAAAGGCCTCATGCCTTTGACAGTGGCGCCTTCTAGCCAGCTTTGGTACCTGGCCTTTTCCTCCTCCAGGTGGTCACACTGGGCTTTGGCGACTAGCTTCCTGTAAAACTCCTCCTTCGTGGCAGACAAGCTGCTTTTTTCCGTAAAATGGGCGAGCAGCTCAGCCCGAAACTCATCCTGGGTGGCGGCCAGATCTCCCTCGAACTTCAGCTGGTTCAGAACCTTTGTGCAGGTTTGCTGGCTGACCCGGACCCCAGCTTTGGCCACCGCATTTAGCCAAGATTCAACCCGCAGCCAAAGGCCTGCTTGTGTGGAGTACTGGCGCAGAGGCTGACTAGGCTTTCTAGCCCTCTTACAGAACCCAAGGGAGCAGCCGCGTAGGGTCTTTTCTTCAGGGTACATGGCGGCTTGACACCACTGAGAGAAAGCCCCAAACCGGACGGACATAGGGTCCCGAGAAAAATCCTGGCCTAGAACCTCAATTGAAGGTGGTGCCGGGAGGTCCGTTGGGAGCTGACCGTCACGGACAGCATCGCAGACCGGGAAATTAGGGAGCTGAAGGACCTTGTCCAGCTGCCCCGGCATGTTGATCTCAATGCACAGGCTGGCGTGAGGCCTATGCGGGGCACCCCAGTCTAAGGTGACTGACACCATGCCAGCAATGGCATTGCTTGCAATCACGAAGTCAATTTCCGTGCCGCCATGGGTCGTGGGGCTGCCAGTGGTGATGACCTGGCCACCTAGCTCACAGACAAGCGAGGTGTCTGCGAGCTCCCGAGGGCTCACGTTAAAATCCCCCGCCACCAGCCATTGACCCGGGTAACTCTTTAATAATGCCGTGAGCCTTGCGAGAATCTCAGCATTAGGCTCATAATGGACGGGGGTGGAATTCTTGAGGTAGAGGCTGAGGAGGAGGATGCTCACTCCTTTGAGACGGATCTCCGCTGCGCAAAAACCGCACCCTTCCTTGACAAATAACTGGGCCGGCTTGGTTTGGAGGTGTGACCTGGTAAGCACAGCGACTCCGCCTTTCGTGCCGTGTTTGCCCGTGGACATTGCCTCCCCTCCTACCATGAGATAGCCTGCCTTGTGCATCGTGGCCACCGCTGCTTGCAGGGAGGGTCTATTGAGGTGTGTTTCCTGCACCAGGATAACATCATCCCGTTGGGCCTGGAGCCACTGCTGGACCTCCGTTCTCCATTGAGTCACGTTTGAGCATCTGATCCTGAACTTGTGGCTGCCTTTGCTGCTAAGGCTGGCCACGATGTCCTCTACCGCAAGGGTGAGAACCTCGAACCCCCGCGTGGCTCCTTCACTGACCTTGTTGAGGAGCTGGTAGGCGGTCCAGCCTTCTAGTCCGTCCTCGTTGTCCTTCACGCCTTTTTGATCGGCAATCTCGAGCAGCAGGGCCTCTTCCTCTGTTGGAATCGAATTGTGGTGAGTCAAGACTTCGCGCATGCGCTTCCAGAGCCTGAGCCTGGTCTTAACCTGCCTGCGCAAAAGCTGATCCTGAGTCTCACCGCTGGGTAGTTGGCGAGTGCGTCTCCTTCGTGGTTTGCTGTTGGTTTCCGAGCCCACAAACCCCGCGGGGAAAAATCGCGGCCCGGTGATCTTATCGCTACTTCGCTTGTCTGCAAAACTGGTGCGGCGACAAGCGGCCGCTGCAAAATTCTGGCTAGGTGCTGTAGCACCTGTGCTGCCTTCCTCAGGTTCTAGCGGCATGCCAAACGTCAGTTGGACCTGGCGTGTCGCGTGCCCTGAGGGAGCAGTTGAGAAACTCAAAACTGTCCCGGGGTGCCCAGAGGGTATTTCCCGGGGTGGTGCTGGAGCAGCACCTTCCTTGCAAGAAAACGGCGTTGAGGTGCACAAAACTGTCCTGGCTTTGCGAGGGCTCCGCCTGGTTCGCCTGCAGAGTCGCCAGGAGAACTCTGCTTTATCCCCAGGCGCCCCCACTCCCTAAGCCTCAGGGTTAACCCCCCCACGATCGGGGGATCTGGATCTGCGGCTTAGGGGGTTGCTACGGAGCCTCTTAGAGTCCCGGGTCGGCCCGTAACCGTTCCAGTCCTCATCTAGGAGCTCAGTGGGAACTCCTGGCTCAGTCTTCCAGAGGCCCGCTACCTCGACTTCGTTGGTAGCCAACAATTTGTCGAGGTTTCCTTCCTGATCTTTGGTGAGGTCAACGCCTGCCTCCTTCAGCAACTCAGTCAAAGATGTCTTCTGCGGCCGCTGGAAGCCGTCTACCTTTTCCTTGACCTGCGCGTGTGCTTTGATGAGCTGCTCCTCGACTTGCTCGATTTTGCTGGAGATGGCGCTCAGTTGGCCGACTGCATCCTCGAATTGTTTTTTAATCGCTTCTGTTTTGGCTTGCAGTCTGATCTTCTTGGCAATGAGTGATCGGTGGATCCCCGTGACCTTCCTGTATTCCTGCATACAGCGGCTGATCTGCTTTTCCGGCGGATCTTCTTGATCAGCTCCTGGAGGGGGAATCCCAGCCTCCCTGAGGAGCCTTTGCGCCGCAGGCTCTGCATTCTCCCAGAGGGCAGCAGCTGCCTCTTTGTATTGGCTGTCTTGGAAAACCTTAAGGCCCGGAGGGGAATGGAGCATATCCCAGTCCTGGTTCAGGTCTGCTGCGTCCTGTTGGCTGAGGAACTTCCTGGCAGCTTGGTGCTCCGCTGCTCGTTGGGCTTGTCGCTGAGCTCGCTTGCTCTGCTTGGGCCCCCAAAGGCCCCACTCACTCCAATCCTCCTGCAGCTGGACTGTACGCTCTGTCTTCCAAGCCCTGCCGCAATACCAGCACTGCGGGTACCAGGCCTTTTCTGACTTGTAGATCCACCCTATCCCGCAATGCTCACACACCAAGAATTTGGACGGCATGATGGGGAGAAACTCACCCGTCCAGTAACTGGTAGTTGCTCTGCGGGGCGAGGATCTCAGCCCAGACAGGGGTAACTGCGACTAGAACCTAGCCGGTAGGCGAAGCAAATGCCTTCGGATCTGCTGCAACCTGTTTACCGGCAGAAGCTGCCAGAGGAGGGCCAAGACCCTGCAAGCCTCTTGCCGAGCTGGACCAACGTCCCCTGCTGCCAGCAGAAGCTGCCGGAGGTACAGGACACACACAACCCACACGTTGTAATGGGAGTTGGCCCTGGTCACCAGCTGTGACTCCGTGCTGGCAAAAGGAAGGGCCGCGGCTGCAATGGCGCGGTCTACAAAGCTTGGGATTCAAAGAGCCTGGGGCCTTGTCGAGAAAGCGTTCCAGGAGTCCCAAGGCTGTTACCGCACTCACTAGAAGCAGCACCCACCTTGAGCCAATATCTTGAGCCAGGGGGGCATGACTTTTCACACCCCCGCTTGGACT